CTATCTATCTATCTATCTATCTATCTATCTATCTATCTATCTATCTATCTATCTATCTATCTATCTATCTATCTATCTATCTATCTATCTAACCAGCGTCTCATGCCAACAGAATAAAAGCATTCCTTTATTATGATGCCTCCATCGCTGTGGGATTGATGGGTTTGGGGTGATTCATAGCACTAGTTTTTTACAGAATGCTCTATGGGATCTACATATCGTTGTTTATAGCTCCTTTTTCTTACATATCTGTTTTGTCCCTCCAGAGTTTGAAGGAAACTATGTAAAGGGTATTCTGTCAAAATGAGGATAGAGAATCTTTACTTACCAGACATTTCTTCCATCTGATAAATTACTGCTTTCTCCACATCCACGGGCTGTGAGTAAAATTTCTCTCCTTCCATTCTGGATGCCATTAGTCATCTGGCAGCCTTTATCAATCTAAGAAAAATAAAACATATAAGGTGAATCATCTTAAAATAAAAAGAAATGGATAAATCTTTATGTTTAGACTTTTATTAAATTTCACCTGCATTAGTTCCTCGTAATATGACTTTGAATTCTGCTGGATTTGTTTGGTGAGCAAATCATCAAACTCTGTAATTACACAACTTCACTGTAAAAAGGGGATCACTTTACTTATGACGGATATATTACAATAAACATTTTAAATGAAAACTGACCAAAGTCTGGCTCCATAGAAAACACGTTCTCCAAATTAGAAGAAAAAACGGGTGAGGAAGATTCGAAGGAAGGCGGTGAATCAGCTTTCCTTTGGATCTGTGGAGAGTCCAAGGCTGATAGATCAATGAGGTGGTAGCTCTTAATCTCTCTGCGGTTCGTCGAACCTGAAAGAAAATGAAAACATAATAATTATACCTATGAATGTCTTTAGAAATATAATTAAGAATGACCCAAAACACTAAAGACAAAAAAATGCCATGTCAATCTTACAGATATTTTTGCTGGTTACTTCTTCACTTTTACTTCTTGATCTTTCATTATTACATGTTCCTCTTGCCATTAGATCTTTGTAAGCCTTCACCACAAGCGTCAGCTCATCATTTGCAGCCAGGATTTGTGCTAAAGCTGCATCGTCATCCGTTGTGTCGCTGGCCAACCTAAACAGACTGGGCCTCAGTCTGTCACAGCGCTCATAGAGCTCCTGCATTTAAAAACAAAGGGATCCAGCATTACAGGTGGCCTTTCCATAAATCACAATGGCAGAAAAAAGAGACACTGATAAAGGAAAGAAACTTCAATTCCTTTGAAGAAAAATGAGGTTACAAATCCTGCTGAATGTTGGGGGTTTTTTTTGCTCTGGAGTTCTTTTCTTGAAACCCTTTTGGTGATGCTGTTTGAATGCAATGTGAAAAGAGCTACACTGCATTAAACTGCACCCCCTTAAAAAAAAGAAAAGAAGCAAAGGATGACCAAAATCTTTCATTTCATACAAGTATTATTTGCAGAAATTTACCAGATGCATTCTATTTGAAGAAAAGTAACCAAGCAATGCAAGGACGTCCTAGGTCATTGTCCATATTACGTCATCATGCAAGGCTGCAGTAAACAGGAAGTAGAGGCTGCAATGTAGCACTGACCATAGATCAGTATTGAGGTAAGAATGTGTAGCGATCAGAGAAGTTCTTGTGTTAACATGTCAGTTAGTAATTGCGATGTTGCTTCCAGCCATCTCTAAGCCCATAATAGGAACATCCAGGAAGACGCCGACAACAGAAACAGCTGCTGAGTCATCTGATTTTGCATAAAAAGTGAGCGTGAGTGTGTAAAAACATTTTTTTGGTCAATTTAGGGAGTTTATTCGAATTTTACCAATTCCATTAAGCTTTTCTAATCCGAAATTTACAAATGAGCTCTAAAAAAGCTGATGCTACATGGTGCTACAAACTTCACCACTTCATGCAGCCCACTATAAATATATTTGAAGTATTACTAGTTTTTCCATTCTGAAAAAACGTAACCAAATTAAAGGATGCCAATAAATATTGCTAGGTAACTTTAAAAACTCTTGAAAAACGTTATAAATGTTTCCATACCTCTTGGGATCAAACGTTTGCGGATCTAACTTCCTAAGGAAAATGCTAATTTCACGATAGTTTACTTTTTTTTTTGCAAAAATGACTTTGCCTTAAACAGTGTTGGGCACGTTACTTTGAAAAAGTAATT